GCACTGTAGCACTGTCCTCCTGTTGTTCATCTATTTGCTCGAGTGGGCACCAGTAATGTCTTCATTGTGAGACTTCTTGTTACTGTTTTTGGCATATTGAATATGCCACGGTAGCTTGCCAGCCTCTGCCATGTGGGCAGAATATTCTCGGTAGCTTGCCGGCCTCTCTGAAAGGGACGGAGGAATCGAACCTGGTCGGCCGCTTTCAAGGCAAATGCCCTACCTGCTGTGCTGTCACTCCAGCCCAGTGTAAGTTGGCAATGCAAAAATTTTCCTGGCTATTGTAGTAATTGGAGATGAAATACAAAACAATTCATGTGCCCTAGAGCAGAATTACCTCCACTGGAAAGGCTCCTTTCTCTAATTTGTACACGTGATTTGTATTTTATTGACATGTCAGGAACTTGGGATAGATGTATGCATGTACGTATGTGTGTATGTATGTATGTATTAACATATGTGTTTGTTTGCATACACATAACATATATCGTTTTTACTTTCCATAAAGGGACGTTGTGAACAAAAGCCTAATGACTGCATGGTCTCTTGCTTATCTTTTCTAAGTATTTATTTAGTCCTCTGACAGAAATAAAGAATTATGAACAAATTGGAGTCACCTCAGCCTGTTAGGTGTGCAGAAAGTACCTTGGTCTTTGAAGGTTTTGATTCCAGTGAGAATTCATGAGCCTTTCCACTATGGAGATTATGCAGGGCTGGTTACAGAGCAGGGGTGATTAATTCAACCTGGTCCTTCAGGTTTCTTCTTTTCTTCCTGGGAATATGGTCTATTTAGAAAATATTTTTGGCAATTGGAATGTCTCGGAAGTTTTGACATGTGTTGGCTAAAGAAAAACTTTAAATTTCTGCATTAAATATTATGTAATCAAAGTCAATATTTGAAGCCATAGATAGAAAATAAATCTGACAGTGTTTTTTAAGACCAAAAATTCCTCATCTCATCCCATGTATTCAGGGATAAGACTTACAACCATTTTTGTGTGTAGGATAGTAGACTACTCTGCTTGAAATTTTATTTGTAACTTAATCTGCCTCTTATTTTTTGCTCCTGACTGTTACTTTTTAGTCAAGCCAGTGTTGTTCCTAATTAGAAATTTAAATTACATCTGCTGCGGTTTGTACACACCATGGGATATATTTATGTAATGCTTTAAGTCAGCCAAGATATTTTTCATAATTTCACTGGCATTCTTTTTTTGTATAGTTGCTTATTGATGAGATTTTACAAAAATTGTTCATTCTTGCACAGGAGAAGCAGTTGTGTAGCTCAGGAGAGACCTCACAAGGAAAATAATTCTTAAATGTATTTTTCATTGATACATTTGTTGTTTCTTTATGGTGCAGAAAAACATTTTTGTCTTTTGTGGTGCCATTTTCTTATGTACTCCCTTCCTATCTCTCCCTGTGTACTGTTGGAAAGTGAAAAATAATTTGACAAATGGAAATATTTCATTAAATTTCAATGAGGTAATTAAGGAAACTCATTTCAAAGATATACATTTATCTCAGAAGCTTGAATGTTCCTTAATCAGGAAATGACCAGAATACTAAATATAGGAAGACTGGGCTTGTCTTGATCAGCAGCTTTGAGAGCCAGACTTCTGAAAGGGCTGACATAGAGGTTAAAACAGCAGAGACCCTGGCATTGAGTGGAAACTAATTGGCTGGAAACATGAATAAGTTATGCTTGTTATTCATGTTGAGGAAAAGCTAAAGGAGAAGGTGGAATATTTGTATCTACCAAGGCATTACACTCTGCCACATGATATTAAAGAGCAAAGTGCAGATCCTTAGACCTAACTTTCTTTTCCTCTAGCAAGTAAGAGGAACAGAAGCTCAATTACCTGGCAATGCTTTCTTCTGAATATTAAGTTTCAGATTTGGCATTTCTGGCTTATAAAATATTGCCGAGAAGGTTGCTAAGGAATTCTCTAACATGAAACATTTATTACTGGGCACGTGACCTTGAGCCTGGGGTTATGTTTCAATGCTTTCAGATAAAAGCCCCAGTTTTCAGGGCTTGGGAATTAATTTCCTCTTTTCTCAGACTTGTACCCTCTCTGTGAATCTGTAGGTTACACATCAAGGCCATACATTAAACAATAGAAATTCTGAAGACTAAAGATTTTAGAATGATGTCCTCAAATTTGATCAATTAGGTTATGTGATGTAGAATAAAAGCTTTTACAAGTTGTTTTTTTTTAATTTCCAAATTTTTTATGAGAGAATGCACTGAACTTGGAAAATTCTCTTCTAGTGGCTCTTAGCAACGTCCTGGCAAAGAAACACGTTTTCTGTTTTAGTTGCTATTTAAAAATTTCCCTGATATTTTCATGTATCTCAACTTGCTGTTCTTTGATGTTTTAAATCTTTTTGGGGTTTTTGTGATTCTCCTCCAAGTTGGTTCTCTGATTACTCACATCGTCCCATTTTGATGCATATTTGGATATCTTAGGGGGATGTGTTTTTGTGCTTTTGTGAATTGTTTCTAACTAAAACATAATTATGTTAAAGTGGTTATCTACTATAAATTCTTCCATTACTATTCCTAAGTCTCTAAAATATTTAGTTCAGAAGAGATGCTTACTTAAGTAGGTTATTTTGCTTGGAAGCCTATTAAGAGATTGAAGTTAATACTTTATTCTTTCTGTATGGAGCTAAAAAATTAGCCGTAGATATATAACTGGTCAAAGTTCAAAGTCATGTTTTAAGTTTCAACACTATTCTTAAAGAACTGAGTATATGGCTCAGTGGTAGAGCACAGACCTAGTATGTGCGAGGTCCTGAATTCCATTCTAGGTGCAAAAACCCCAAAACAAACTACTTATTTCCTAACTTATCACTTGATTATTAACTCTCTGACCTGATTTGTTTGTGGCTTATGAATTTCTAAACTCCCTCTTTTATTTTAAATGCTGTAAGTTAGATTGATGGATGTATAGCAGTGGTTTTCCAAGTTTATTTCCCCATCAAGAACAAGAGTATTATCTAGGAACCATCAAGAACAAGACTATACTATCTAGGGACCAATGAAAAAATGCCAGTATCAGATCCCATCCCAGACTTGCTGACTCAGAAACTATAACAGAAGCTCCAGATAATTTTGAAGCTTGAAGTTTGAGAGTTGTGGCATCACCAGCTCCCAAGATGATGAGAAGCTCATACCACACTGTTGGTGAACATCAGGGACAGTGGGGCCATTTCACGGTTGGCCTTTAAATCCATTATCTTGTTTTTCACCTGTAAGGTTATGCAGACTGGCTGACTACTGATCCTAATTTCAAGTCTACAGTTACTGCCCACAGATTTTCAGCTCTCAAATTCCTATAAGGAATGACTGTTGAGGAGTAAAAACTTTCTTAGGTTGAATCAAGAATATGCAATGAGCAAGGGATTAACTTTCAGCTGCATTAACCTGCTTTTGCATGCTTAGCGTTGTATGCATGTTAGATTACACGTGCAATGTCTGCTGATATACGTTAGGTAATTGGGCAGCCAGTAGCTCCATTTGCATGCAGAGATGACTGCACACCTCCCATTTACAAGTCTAAAATTAAGAGGCCAGTTGGAATCTGGCTGAAGGCTTATTGCTAGGAAAATAATGAGATAAGGAAGAAATGGCTGTTGTTAATTTGCAGTTGTGGCCACTACCATTCTGTCTTTGCTAATTTGTCCTTTGAAATGGAATATTCTGTGTGGAGAGAGACTCCTAAGTATGTGTGTATGTGTGTGTGTGTGTGTGTGTGTGTGCGCGCGCGCGTGTGTGTTTAATCTACACTTGTAAGTTGATTGTGTTTATTCCGAGCATTTTCCCCAAGGGAAATTCACATGCATGCTGAATCTGTTACTGGGCTCTAATTTCACTCGGGTAGGTATTCCTGCTCTCATGAGACCACAAGCATCCTGTCAAAGAAGAGTGACCCCTCACACAGACTCTCAGACCAGGTGGGGGCACCACTTTCGTGTAGCCCAGAGTCATCAGGCTCCTCTGAGCTTGGACTGTGCAGGAGCTGCATGTATGCAGACTAATCAAGAACAGGGTTCTGTAATTGCTTTGGTGTGTGCTGTAGCACACACAGCCTTAAACTCACTGCCTAGGCTTTTTAAGTCACGCAGACATCTTCTGGGGCCCCCATTAAAAAACCAAAGTAACACTGGTTTACAAGACTGTATGTTTTGGGGGTACAATGTCACACCTCTTCAAAATATGTGGTACTTCACCACACCTATCATCAAAATACCAATAACCTGATAGCCCTGTCTGTTGCCCAGCTTGGTTCCACTCCTGCTCTCTAATAACCGCAGTTCTATGGTCAGAGTTCAGGGTCAGTTTAGCCTTGTCTCCTTGTTTTAGAACTTTAAGCAGCTTCCAGGGATTTCAGAGTTAATGGAATCTTCTCTGGTGATTCTCCCTTACCTCTGTCTGTTTGTAATGCCTCCTCCCTCCTGATTATTCTCAAGGAGTGTCCCAAGGAGAATTAGGGAAGGACCAACCCAAAGGGTCCTACCTAGAGGATCAAAGCCCCAGAGCACAAGCTTACTACTCAGCTGGGTCATCCAGAAGTGGTAACCGCATAACAAAAGGCCCATATTCTTGGTTCTGGGATACGAAAAATGCATGAGTGCTTTCTATAGTCCTAAAGTGGTTGGTGGGAAGAATGTGCCTGCAGACGTTCCCAGCGCGATTTACTCACAAGCGCCACCTAGAGGAACAACGGATCCTTACAAAGATAGTTTTCCCAAAGCCGGCCACTGGTACCCCTCTTTGATTCAACCACTTTGTTTCCCTGTTGGATTAAGCGCATTTGTTTTACTGAGACGAGATTGTGCAGCTCTAGAGAACAAATGATTCTGCTCTTTGGTGCCTATTTGATGGTGCTGATTGTAAATGTGTTTTATTAGGAGGAAGAATGCCTGGAGGTTTTGTGTAAACATAAGTAATTTCTCCCAATAATAAATGATTTTTTTCTTTTTTATTCTAGCACAAGTGCATACACCTTGATAAAACCAAATGAAAGCCGAAGAAGTCAGATACAAAGGAGTATGTATATTTATATTCACTTAACATTCAGATTCGGAGAGCCCGGCAAGCTACCGAGAGTATTCGATATGCCAGACACAGTAACAACAAAGTCTCCAATGGAGACGTTACTGGGCTCGCTCGAGCAAATCAATGATCAACGGGAGGGCCTTTAATTTAATTAATTTAACATTCAGATCACTTCTCATTTTTGCACACAATACAGTCGATTGGCTTGGATCTTAAGTATTTTTATTTCCTGATTTGCATACATATGCCATGTGGCATTAATATTTTATTTATTTACTTATTTTGGGATATAGAAGTACTCAGGGACTATTCTAGCTCTGTACCCAGGAGTGACCTTTACATGTGGTACCAGCGATCAAACCCAGGACAGCTACTTGCAAGGAACATGTCTTACCTCCTGGATTATCTCTTTTTCCCCATGTTTTTAAACCTTCTATAGTTTATAGTGTAGTTTGAAAATTATTCCGTAGTTAATGCTCTAAATTTGTTTTTCTGTGTTTGCTAACAGCAGAGCTTTACCATGATCATCAATCGCAGATTTCTGGTGGTATTTAATACTTTCATACTTATTGTCAATATTTCAAGCTATTCCTATAAATTTGGATTAATTGAAGATATTTGTTTTTACAGAACTATGAATTTTTATCTTTAAAATTGTTGTTGCAGTAATATGCTTGTAATAAACAGTGTTAGCATTTATGTTTTGCACTATGTTAGAACTATGGCTATTTTTGAAATGACAAGTTTTATGTGAGTGGATGATGAAATAATTTGTCTTTCTCAAACCATCCCACTCCTGCCCAATGGATTTTTCCTTCATCATCTGTGCTTTCTTATTTTACACATATCAGGGGTTACTCTCAGCCACTTTTATTTGAGTATTTCCGGTTGCTTCTCTTGATTAAAGCCTCTTTGAGGACAGGTACCAAGTTTTATTCACTTTTGTGCCTCTTGTACCTTGTTGATATAGAACATAGCTTCCTGAAGGCTATGCAGTTAATGCTGTCATTTAAAGTCACAGAACTGGGCTGGAGCGATAGCACAGAGGGAAGTACGTTTGCCTTGCACGTGACCGACCTGGGTTCAATTCCCAGCATCCCATATGGTCCCCTGAGCACCGCCAGGAGTGATTCCTGTAGAGCCAAGAGTAACCCCTGTGCATCTCTGGGTGTGACCCCAAAAGCAAAATAAATAAATAAAGTCACAGAACTATACAGTAGAGTTGGAAAGTGGACAAAAAGTTCATTTTGTGCATAAGGGCTTATGAGGCTTGCTCTAAGCCTAACTGTGGGGTTAGTACTGAGATTCTGTGATGTCACTTATGAAATAATTGATGGGAAATTGAATTTTTGTGTCTATAATGAACATAAGGGCACAAAAGGAAAACAAGTCTCTAACAGATCTTCATAAGAAAGGCAGCCTCTTGTATGATGCAGGTGGTTGAGATGAGAACATGGTATCCATGACAGAGGGACAGTAGCCACTGCTGGTGGTGGACCAACAGAATCCCTTGTTTTGGCATTGTACAGGCTTCAGTTCTAAATACTTAGCCAGGATTTAAGATTCAGCGTGGCCTGGATTTTAGATATGTTCATAATATTTTTCTCTAATAATTAAAAATAATATAAATTAACTTATAGAAAAATAAGCATTTGGAGCAAGCCGGCTAATGGGGCACTGAGTAACAGAATGAGTATCTCTCTGGCTCCCCCTGCTGTTACTCAAAGTGTACAGAATGAGTACTGCTCCTGCACTGGAAATTTTTGGGGACACTTCCTAGCCACAGTACCCAGAAAAACCTTACAGTGCAAAAGCTCCCTTCTTAGTGGTTTCAGTAATCTTGGAGAGCATTTAAAAGAAAGTAACCATGAGTCTTGGAATGCAATATTCTTATTGATCTATGAATATTTTAATTTTTTTATTCAGACTCTATGGGAAACTTCCCCAGTGTTGCTTGAGGACCTAAGTTCATTATTACCAAAGATTCTTGGGGTCACCAGGTTCACACTCAGTGATGTTGTGGGGGATGGGGAGGAAGGAATATGCAAAAATAAATTTCAGGGCCCCATACTGCGTAGCATGTGCACTACACTTTAGTATCTCCTTGGCCCTATGGAAAACTTTTGACGTTCATTGGATTAACATTCATTTGTTTAATAGTCATTTGACACAAAGTAAGTAAAGTAAAGTAAAGTAAAGGCCCTCCCGTTGATCGTCGATTTGCTCGAGCGGGCCCAGTAACGTCTCCATTGGAGACTTTGTTGTTACTGTGTCTGGCATATCGAATACTCTCGGTAGCTTGCTGGGCTCTCCGAGAGGGGCGGAGAAATCGAACTCGGGTCGGCTATGTTGGCCGCTTGTAAGGCGAATGCCCTACCTGCTGTGCTATCGCTCCAGCCCAAAGGTAAAGGCCCTCCCGTTGATCGTTGATTTGCTCAAGCGGGCCCAGTAACGTCTCCATTGGAGACTTTGTTGTTACTGTGTCTGGCATATCGAATACTCTCTGTAGCTTGCCGGGCTCTCCGAGAGGGGTGGAGGAATCGAACTTGGGTCGGCCATGTTGGCCGCTTGTAAGGCGAACGCCCTACTCGCTGTGCTATCGCTCCAGCCCCAAAGTTTAAAAAAATTCCAGAATGGGAAAAAATACGAAACTGTCTCAGTTAAAGTTGAGGTTGTTTTCAAAATTAGAACCTTTTGTGGAAACCCTTGGAAAGAAAGTGCCACTTACTGGATGCAGGGATGCAGACCCAAGGTGTTGAGTATGAATAGTAACAACCTTTCCTGGGTACTCATCTACTCATGCACACATGGATTTAACCATCCTCTTAGGCAGTTTGTTAATTTTTCAGTAGACTAGTTTCCTTTTCATATCCCAATAATGATCTGCTATTTCTCACCTGTCTTAGTTGCTGAGCAAGAGTTGGAGAACCTGGAGAAATGGAAGGAGCAGCATAGAGCGAAGCCCATTAACCTAGTCCCAAGGCAGCTAGGTAAGCCTGCAAACCAACTGTCTGAAAGCGGGGCAGACAGAGTTAGCCAAAGGTCCTGTTAGTACATGGTCTGTGTCTATCTTTCACTGCATGTTATAGGTTGCTGAAGCTTGGGGCTCTTTGAATGGGATGCTATTGAAGTGGAAACATTTGAGGACGCAGCTGTATTTTTGTTTTCTTATTCTGGTTTTCAGTGGTAGCTGCTTTAGGTTCTATCAGCAAAGCCTTTACAGTGAAATAGAAATCCAGTGATGACTTAATAATTAAGATAATAATTCAGAATATTTGAGGAGATCCACTTAGAAGAAATCTTACCTGGGGACGGCATGTGACCTGCCACTGCACTTGTCATGGCTGGAGTAAAAGGCATCACAAGTATATATTAATTATGTTAGTCACATGCTGTTGTGAAAAAAAATTGAGAGCACACTCCAAAACTAAGATGAGAGTGTGCTGGGGACCCAATGGTAGGACTAAAGAGAAACATCGCCTATGTCTTTATTCCCTGGATAGAGACCTTTGCACTTCTGGAGCACATGCTGCCAGTGTGATAAATTGTCTGGGCTGCCTTTGCCTGGTGTTTGAATCATTCAACAGAGATGCCTCCTAAAGGGAGTCATTCATGTCTTTTCTTCCCTTTACTCTTCCAGCCGCAGTTGAGTACTTAAAGGACTGGATACATAGGTTCCATATACTTAATTAATACAAATGTGCCAGAGATCACTTACTGTTCTACTAATTTTTAAAAAGCATCTTTATACTCAGATATCGGAAAAATAAACCATTTTAGAAAGCATTTGGTGAAACTAATAGCATTATTATCGTCATACCACTGTATTTCAGGAGAGGCGTTAATGTTAGGCATTTCAGTGATCGTGTCAGAATAAGCCAGATTTGCAAGTGGCATAGCCAGGAAATGGCTTTGCCCTCCCTAACTACTCCCTTAAATCAGAACTGTGTATTTTTCTTATATTCTGGGAATAAAACTGTATCTTTTAGATCATTCTCAAATGATAACGTCGTCCAGCTAATTCTATCCATAAAATAGAGTCATTTTCCATAGTTAATGTTCAGTCCTTGTATTGGTTAAACTCTGTTACTAATGGAGATTTAGATTCTCCCCTGTTCTAGTCCAGGTAGTGAGCTAACAGAGGAAATGAAGCAGGATTGAATCTTTCTCTATTGAGATTCTGACTCCCTCTGGGTCAAAGGGAGAAGGTCAAATAGAGTAGGAAGTACTGTGATCCCAGATTCTTCAAATCTTATAGATTCTTGAACACTGCCCTCTCTGCCCCCTCCTGAGGGTTCCTTGAATTCTTGAGTGTCTTCTTCCTGCCATACCTCTTACTCCTGAATTTTCCTGATTGAGATGATATGTTTTCCTACTGGCAGCTCAGGGTTTCACTGACAATCTTTGCTCTATTGTTTCTCTGGGCCAGTTCCTTTTGCCTGCATGGGAAGTAACTTTAAAAGAACTCTAGATTGGCATTTGCTTTCATAACAATCCACACTGAGGGTACAGGACACACTTCTGTGTTTTTCCTTCTTGTGAACTCACTGGAAAAAAAGACCCTTTGTCTTGGTTACCTCTGCTTGAAGATCCTAGTAGTCGGTTGGGAACAGCTTATAAGAGCTGGCTTTCCTAGGCATGGGTTAATTAAGACACATGGTCCCATCTTAAACTAAGAAGCTTCTGCACCTCCAAAGAAACAGTGACCAAAATACAAAGACAGTCTACAGAATGGGAAAGGATATTCGCCGAATACACATCTGACAAGGGGTTGATATCCAGGATATACAAAATACTGGTTAAACTCCACAAAAAGAAAACATCCAACCCCATCCAAAAATGCGGCAATGAAATGAACAGAAACTTTCTCAAAGAAGAAATCCGAATGGCAAAAAAGCACCTGAGAAAATGCTCTACATCATTAATCATCAGGGAGATGCAGATCAAAACCACAATGAGATACCATCTCACACCTCAGAGACTGGCCCACATTCAAAAGAACAAAAGCAACCGATGCTGGCATGGATGTGGCGAGAAAGGGACACTCCTTCACTGTTGGTGGGAATGTCCACTGGTTCAGCCCTTCTGGAAAACAGTATGGACGATTCTCAAAAAATTAGAAATTGAGCTCCCATTTGACCCAGCAATACCACTCCTGGGAATATATCCAGAGAGGCAAAAATGTATAGTCGAAGTGACATCTGCACTTGTTTGTTCATTGCAGCACTCTTTACAATAGCCAGAAACTGGAAGAAACCTGAATGCCCAAGAACAGATGACTGGTTGAAGAAACTTTGGTACATCTACACAATGGAGTACTATGTAGCTGTTAGAAAAGATGAAGTCATGAAATTTACATACAAGTGGTACAACATGGAAAGTATCATGCTAAGCGAAATGAGTCAGAAAGAGAGGGATAGACATAGAAAGATTGCATTCATCTGGGGGATATAAAGTAACAAAATATGAGATTAATACCCAAGAATAGCTGAGAACAGCACCAGGAGGATTACTCCATAGCTTAGTGGCCAGCCAGGCATTCTAGAGGGAAGGGCAGCTCAGATAGAGAAGGGAGCACCAAATAAAGGATGTTTGGAGGATCCTCCCAGGAGGGGAGATGCATGTCGAAAGTAGACTATGGACTGAACAATGTTTGCCACTCAATGCCTCTTTTGCAGACCACAACACCCAAAAGGAGAGAGAGAACACAGGGGATTGCCCTGCCACAGAGGCAGGGGGGGATGGGGGGATGGGGGTGGGGGGGATATTATCCATGGTGGTGGAAAATGGGCACTGGTGGAGGGATGGGTATCTGATCATTGTATAATCAAACCCAAGCACAAAAATTGTAAATCTACAACTGTACCTCATGGTGTTTCACTAATAAAATAAAAAGACACATAGTCCCTTGCATCCACCCCCAGACTGCCTCCTACTGAACTCTTCCAAATGAAATTTACAGAGACATCTTAAAGATTCTCCAAACAGGTTTTCAGTTACCCAGTGGCACATTGTGTATAGGGGTCTGACAGACTAGATTTGTAATCTGGAGTAGTTGGTACCTATTATGTTGGGACCAGTTTAAAAACTGAGTAGGAGTCTCATTGTCACTTTGATATATAATTTAGTAATGATCCAGGATTTTTGTGTTAGAAGAGGATAGGGGGTTTGAAAAGAAAATTCTAGATCTTATTCTATGAGATGAATTGAGTTCTATGAGATGATTTCTGATAAAATCTACAAATACTTGGACAGCTTTCTCCATTTCTTCTAATTCTTAACACTTCTCCAATTTCTTTTATTTAAATTTTATTTTTTAATGAAGTTGTTTATTATGACTTGTTACATTCAATATTCCAACACCAATTTCATCACATTTGCACCTTCCCACCACCATTATTTCCAAATTTCCCAACCACCCTTCAAGCCTGACCCCATAGAAGTTCCTGAATAATTTATTTTATATTTTTTGTTATAAATTATTAGGTAAAAATGATCACAAAAGTGTAGAGCTTGAGATGTTGTGTGGCTGTGTACTCCAGGAATACAAAAGTTTTGAATGGGTACTACAGCTGGAGTTAATCTTTTTTAATTGCTCATTTTATTTTTTTAAATTTTATTTTCTTTTTTATTTTTGAATCACACCTGGCAATGCTCAGGGGTTACTCCTGGCTCTATACTCCAGAGTCACTCCTGGCAGTACTTGGGGACCACATGGGATGCTGAGTATCGAACTCAGGTCAACCTCATGTACTATTGTTCTGGCCCCTGGAGATAAATTTTAACTGGATTGTGACATTGTGACATGGGACTGGAAGCACCTCTGCAAACTTGTTTGTCTCTTTTGAGGTTTATATAGGAGTCTTTGGATCATGGCCGGTTAATGAGCTTATTTGGCCCCAGAAGCAGTTCATGGGCTTGACTGCCAGGCTCCCAGAAGAACAGAGAGATGGGGGAAGGTGGCCCATCTACAACTTCATGAAGGCCTGGAGATTTCAGTCATGAAACCCACATACCTGAGTTTTTCATTTCTAAATGAGGCTCTCTTGAGCCTGTGGAGTCCATGGCAGCAATTGGAATGTGGATGTTTTTGGCTACCTTGGCCATGTTTGGATGGGTTCTCAGTTCACCTGACACCCCCGCCAACTCTGTTACCCAATTTCTTATTCCCTCAAAATAGTGGAATGATTTTTGAAGAGACTGAAGGATTAAATAAGTGATTCAATAGTCCTGCTTCTTTTCCATTCCCCATCTCCTGCAGCAGACTGGAAGATCCAAATTAAACAGGCCTGATAGATCTTTTGAGACTTGAAAGAAATGTCTCCATGGCATCTTTATCAGTACAATTATTAAAACTATAGTGAATGCGAATTGCTTTAATGTGTCTTCTGTTAGAGCATATCTTTCAGTAAACTGGCACTTTAAGTGACCAAAGCACCAGAGAATTATTTCAAAGGCATCTTTATAATACTCACAACTGACTTACATAAACACTGAGAAATCCCTAAATAGCAATTCTTAAGTGATTGTCAAGCTGCAAAGATTTCTGGCCCTCAATATTTTAGATTTTAGAGAGATGTAAAAAATCTGTCATCCATATTTTTGTTTTGAATATATAAGGGAAGAACATGAAATAGTATGGATTGAAAATTACTAGCTAGAATATCCCCATTGCACTTTTGAAAAATGGAGCTAACAACTGAATTTTGCTACTTGCATATAAGCCATAGAGTCAAAAGAATAAAAACAACTGAAGTTGGGTTGGTGATCTTTTTTTTCCACTTCGTTTTGGGGCCACTCTCAGTGCTGTTCAGGGTCCAGTCCCATCTCACTGGACCAAAGGGGGCTGCGTGTGTGCAAGGCAAGTGTCTTAACCCCCTACACTATCTCTCCATCCCCCTTGATCATCATCTTTACTAAGGTAAAGAGTGATCACACTCAAGCTAGACTAATGTTCAAGAATTTCCAATACAAGCACAATTTCTTATTATTCAGCATGTACACCCATGTATCATTTAATCTAATTAAAAACTTACATACCTACATGACAGAAAATTTATATAAAATTTATATCTTCTCTTAGGAATATGATTTCATCTTTATGTCCAGGTCTGTTTCTCCTTTAAGAAATTCTCCTTCTTAGTGTTTTATTAAGACAACTGGTTATTTTCATAATACTAGAAGCATGAAAATGTTAAGGAAATGCTGGGTGTAGATGTATCATGTATTAATTAGTCTTTGATGGCTGACATTTTAGTTTAATACTCCTGTTGATGCTTTTTTCTTGAGGTGGAAGCCAATCAGAAGCTGAAGTCAGGCAGAAACAACAGCTACAACTGATGCAGTCTAAATACCAACAGAAGGTCAGAGTCCCTCTCTTCTCATTTAATTTTGGCAAGGAAGTAGAGCACCAACACTTGCACATAACCATGAAATAATACAGCAATTCTACCAAAACCATAAGAGCTTTAAGCCATTTGCAAATAGAAACTTCTAAACGCATATAGATCAAGAAGTGAGAAGTGAAGAGATAGCTATTTCTTACCCAAATTGTATATTGGTTGGTTGTATTCTTGAGTAAGGAATTATGTTGTTCTGGCTTAAGTTAAGATAATTCTATTAAAAATTTTAGTTTCAAGACCATGGATATATTTTGTGCAAGTAGTTAGTGGGAAATAGAAGAAACCCCTGTGAATTTTAAAATAAACGGATATTTGTATAATTAAAAAAATTATGTGTTCTTTTCTCCCTCACAGTCAGGGGTAGCAACAGTAGATGAGACAGACATCAAGGAAGAAATACAAAAAGAAATTTTGTAGCCTGACCATACCCTGTACCAGTCTTTAATCATAGTGAGACTGAGCACAAACAACATCAGCTTTTGCGTTTTATCAGAATTTTATGTTCCAGAGATTCAGACTGAAAAGTAGTAATTTTTGTCTTTTAATCTTTTGTAATACAATTTAGCTGAAAAGAGAGGAATCCATCAGAATCAGAAAGGAAGCGGAAGAAGCTGAAATCCAAAAGATGAAGGCAATTCAGAGAGAGAAGGTATGATGATGGAGAGAGTGATTAACATTTACTGAGAGCTCACTGTGTGCCCATGTGCCTGGTTCTCGTCTAGACATAGCCCACCAAGGAGCTGGCGGAATCCTCACAATAACCTTCTGAAGTATATATCACTCTGATTACTCACCTTTGCGAATGAGCAAACTTGTGCAGAGATAGCAAGTACCTATCTCAGGGACTCACAAACTTGGCTGCCTGAAAGACAAGCTCCTTACCACCTCTCTGGCTCTGAAGAGAGTTTTTTTTTTTAAATTTTATTGAATCACCATAAGATAGTTACAAACTTTCATGTTTGGGTTACGATCACACAATGATCAAACAACCATCCCTCCACCAGTGCACATTCCTCACCACCAATATCCCCAGTATACCCTCCCTTACCCATCCTCCCCCTGCCTCCATGGCAGATATGATTCCCCATAATCTCTCTCCACTTTTGGGTATTATGGTTTGCAATACAGATACTGAGAGGTTATCATGTTTGGTCCCTTATCTACTTTCTGCACACATTTCCTATCCCGACCAATTTCTCCAGCCATCTTTTTCTTAGTGATCCCTTTTCTATTCCAGCTGCCTTCTTCCCTGTGCTCATGAATCAGGCTTCCAGCTATGGAGCAATATATCTGCCCCGTGTATCTACTTTTCCTTAGGTTTCAGCCTCATGTTATGTTGTTTTATACTCCACAAATGAGTGCAGTCCTTCTATGTCTATCCCTCTCTTTCTGACTCATTTCACTTAGCATGATACTCTCCATGTCTATCCATTTATAAGCAAAGTTCACGACTTCATCTCTCCTGACAGCTGCATAGTATTCCATTGCGTAGATGTGCCAAAGTTTCTTTAACCAATCATCTGTTCTAGAGCACTTGGGTTATTTCCAGATTTTGGCTATTGTGAACAGTGCTGCAATGAACATATAGGTACAGATGTCATTTCTACTGTGCTTTTTTGCATCCTAGGGATATATTTCGAGTAGTGGTATTGCAGAGTCGTTTTTGAGGGACTGTCCATATTGTTTTCCAGAAAGGCTGGACTAGTGGGCATTTCTACCAATAGTGGAAGAGTGTCCCTTTTCTCCCACATCCACACCAGCACTGGTTGCTTGTGTTCTTTTGAATGTGTGCCAGTCGCTGTGGTGTGAGATGATATCTCGTTGTTGTTTTGATTTGCATCTCCCTGATGACTAGCGTAAGTGGAGCATTTTTTCATGTGTCTTTTGGCCATTTGTATTTTCTGAAGAGAGTTCTTATCACTGCTCTGTCTTGCCTCTGGGACCATTTATCAAAACAGATGCATTTTTGACAAGAGGGGAAAGGAGTGGGGCAGCACCATATTTTTGTGCAACTATTAAACTTGGTGGGCTGGAGCAATAGAACAGTGGGCAGGGCAGGGCGTTTGCCATGCATGCAGCCTACCCGGGTTTGATTCCTTCCTCCCTCTTAGAGAGCCTGACAAGCTACCGAGAATATCCTGCCCACACAGCAGAGCCTGGCAAGCTCCTCGTGGCTTATTTGATATGTCAAAACCAGTAACAAGTCTTACAATGGAGATGGTACTGGTGTCCGCTTGAGTAAATCAATGAACAGTGCTACAGTGTATTGAACTTGGTGGCAAATGGGGGAAGTAGATAAACATTTATGACAAATGAAAGTTGAGGTATGAGTTTGCTTTACCAGCTAATGATGTGTTCTATCACAAATCTCAGAGTGCTATTTTTTTTCTTTTTTTCTTTTTGGGTCATACTCAGCAATGCACAGGGGTTACTCCTGGTTCTGCACTCAGGAATTACTCCTGGAGGTGCTCAGGGGACCATATGGAATGCTGGGAATCGAATCCAAGTTGGCTGCATGCAAGGCAAATGCCCTATCCACTGTTCTATTGCTCCAGCCTCTCAGAGTACTGATTTATGAACTTATTTGGTGGTGCTGCTGCATCTGCATACTTTGTTGTGGTGCAGGAAGTCCATAATTATTGTGATCCCAGGGGTCAAACTGGGCTCAAGACAATTGCTCTCCCTCTGAACCATCACTGTGGGACGCAGAGTGATGTATTTAGTTTTGATACTCATTTTGGGGGTCTTGGAAATCAAAATATCTTTAAAATGGTTTTCTGTGAGAGAAGGGGAAAATGCATGTGTGGCTGTACCATCATGTCCCCTTGCTTCTGCTATTCACCACAGAGTCTTCCATGTAGAAACTTCCAGCATGGGGAGTTGGGGATGGCCTGACTAGTGGCGCTCATCACAAGATACAAAGAACACCTCCTATAGGTAGCCATCATGGGAACACAGAATCATTTCTGTTTGTTTCTTTTGATTTTGGGGTCATACCCGTCTGTGCTCAGGATTCACTCTAGTTCAGCCTCATGCAAGGCAAATGCTCTATTCGTGGTATGGTCTTTCATCCCAGAAACACAGTTCTTTTTTTTTCTTTTTTTCTTTTTGAGTCACACCGGCAATGCACAGGGGTTACTCCTGGCTCATGCACTCAGGAATGACTCCTGGCAGTGCTTGGGGGACTATATGGGATGCTGGGAATCAAACTCTGGTTGACCATGTGCAAGGCAAATACTCTACCCACTGTGCTATCACACCAGACCCAGAAACACAGTTCTTACACATGTTGTTTCTTTCCTCCCTGCTTCTGTTTTTTAAAAAATTTAAAATTTATTTTCATAAAGTTGTTCACAATAATGGATTAAATTCAGTATTTTGACACCAGTCCCACCACCATTACACCTTCCCACCACCATTATTTTCCTACCACCACTCAAACCTGCCAAAGAGACAGATGCTAGATAATTTATTTTGTGTCACTTGTTATGAATCGCATAAGATAGCTCTCGTGGCCATGTGCTCCTAGAATTCTAAAATTTTAGACAACTAGGGTCTGGAGAAATCTCTGCAAAAAGGGATTCTCAAAAATCACAAGATTTAAATGAGGATGTTAAATATGAAATGTCACTGTCACTGTCCTCCCGTTGTTCATTGATTTGCTTGAGCAGACCAAGTAACATTGTGAGACTTGTTATGGTGTTCGGCATATCAAATATGTCACAAGTAGCTTGCCAGGCTTTGCCATGTGGGCGCAATACTCTCGGTAGCTTGCCAGGAGGGGTAGAGGAATCTAACTTGGGTCAACCGTGTTGGCCATGTGCAAGGCAAATGCCCTACCCGCTGTACTATCCCTCCAGCCCATATTTCCAATTAGAATAAATGATTCCCAAAGCAGAAGGCTTTTGGGACATAGAAATAGTTTCCTTCCTTTCCCTGAATTGCTCTTTGTCTAAAGAGTATATTCATTTTCTTGGAAAGTTTCCTGTTGTGGTGTATGATCATGGGCAAACCCTTACCCTTCTCTGAACTATCCTTGTAAAATGCCTAGAATTCCTCTTCAAATTTTCTTTATTTTTCTTCCAAGGCCTTATATACACATACATAAGTATACTAAAGAGGTATATGCTCAAGGGAAAGAGGTTAGATTACTTTTATACAAAAGGACTGTAATGAAATGCTAGAGTAAAAATGAAAGTATGGGAGCTGTTCTTATGAAATTTGATTCATTAATCCATTTCCAGTTGATCAGCTTTTACATATTTGTTGAAAAGATTTTTATTACAGTAACTTTTTAACTTGTCTTTCCCTTCTGTCTCTGTCCATCCCCACCTACTTTTTTGTTTTAATCTGACTCCTCTCACCTCCCAATTTTCTCTTTCAAAGGTAAGTTTACACTTTGGTCTTGTGATTATAGAGCAGATGTTCCCTTTACAAGGCATAGTCTACCTGCAGGTGGAACTAGACAAAGTAACACGCAATCACCCAGAATTATTGCATTATAATATCTTATCTTAACAGTCATTTATTAGTTGTCATTTAATAACCATAATTAACTGACTTGTGGGTCATTTATAGCTCACTTCTTTACGGATCAGATAAAGTGTACTATCTAGAAATACTTATGGTTGAAACAGTTTTCTATAACATTGAGTAAAGACAGCATTTATTTTTCTTTTTCAAATTATGCTGTAGCATTAGATATATAGCGGTCATTAACCACAGAAATATTAATTGGCTTTGCTTTTCTAATGTGATAACTGCAATGATTATGGGTATAAATTTGCCTAAAAGTGGGAGATGACATGAAAGCTGAGTTCACATGAACATCCTTCCCATTTGAAATATAGTCGGTAGAGCAGGAGACAGTTCCATGGGCTAAGTGTTCTTGTATTCAGGAGTCCTGGGTTGGATTCTGGCACCAAATTATCCTCAAACCACTACTGGTAGTAGCCTCTGAGCACTGCCAGATGGGGCTCATAGACAAACTAATAGAATGTGGTCCTTAAGTTAGCAGTATGGCATCATTAGTTAGAATCCTGAGTTCCTCTTAAATCTTCTCAACCAGAGTCCTGAGTTTAACAAGCTTCCCAGGGGTTTCTGGTACACATAAACATTTTATATGGGAGGCTGGAGAGATAGTACAGTGAGTAGGGCACTTGCCTTGCATGCAGCTGATCTGGGTTCAATCCCTTACTTCCTATATGTTCCCCAGTACCACCGGGAGTAATTTCTGAGTGTCGACCCAGGAGTAATCCCTGTGTACCATGGAGTGTGGCCTCAAAACAAACAAACATACAAAATTGGGGTGCATAAATATAAACTAGCTTAGAGAACCCCCTCTGCCGTAGGCCCCTCTGAAGATTTGATTTCTCTGGTTAATTGGCCTGTGCTGCCACCAAGCCCTACTTCTTTCTGTCATACATAGATCTGTGGCTTTTCATATTAAATGTGAGTCTGTTTAGTAACTTGTGTCAGAAAAAAAGAAAAATGGACATTAGCCATCTAGAAATGGCATACTTCACATTGCCAGTGTGAAAATGGCTGTGAGAAACGATAATGGTTGTGCTTATGGAGCACTTATTCTTTAAAATGCACAGCAAAACACACACATGGACACTAGCTTGCAAAATACCGCCCTCCTCCCCA